CCTGTGTGAACCCTGGCCTGTCCTGTGTGAACCCTGGCCTGTCCTATGTGAACCCTGGCCTGTCCTGTGTCAACCCTGGCCTGTCCTGTGTCAACCCTGGCCTGTCCTGTGTCAACCCTGGCCTGTCCTGTGTCAACCCTGGCCTGTGTGAACCCTGTCCAGTCCTGTGTCAACCCTGGCCTGTCCTGTGTGAACCCTGACCTGTCCTGTGTCAACCCTGGCCTGTCCTGTGTGAACCCTGGCCTGTTCTGTGTGAACCCTGTCCTGTCCTGTGTGAACCCTGGCCTGTCCTGTGTGAACCCTGGCCTATCCTGTGTGAACCCTGTCCTGTGTGAACCCTGTCGTCTGTGAACCCTGCCCTGTCCTGTGTGAACCTTGGCCTGTCCTGTCCTGTGTGAACCCTGTCCTGTCCTGTGTGAACCCTGTCCTGTGTGAACCCTGTCCTGTGTGAACCCTGGCCTGTCCTGTGTCAACCCTGGCCTGTCCTGTGTCAACCCTGGCCTGTCCTGTGTCAACCCTGGCCTGTCCTGTGTGAACCCTGGCCTGTCCTGTGTCAACCCTGGCCTGTCCTGCGTGAATCCTGGCCTGTCCTGTCCTGTGTGAACCCTGGCCTGTTCTGTGCCATCCTCACCACCTCTGACCACTAGGGGCCATTGCTGATGTCATCATGCTAGTCCATCCTCTTGGGGGTCTTCCTCTCACTGACCCTCCATTTGTCCAAGCTTGGTGTCCCTTTCTAAGGAGTAGCCTCTCCTAGCTGTGACGTGTTTAGATGGTGCCCTGTTTGCGCATTCAGCTCTCATGTACAGCTCAGGCCCAGACACCATCGTGTGCGTGACCGTCCCATATGCCACATGCTTTCCTGTCCTGCAGGCCTCATCCTCTGAAGACATGGGCCGGTGGGTTGGGATCCTGCTGGCAGAGACCGGCTCGTCCACAGACCCCGGGGCGCTGCACTATGACTACATTGACGTGGAGACCTCGGCCAACGTCATCCAGACAGCCAAGCAGACCTTCTGGTGAGCCCACCTGGGGTGCCCGGGTCAGACGTTTGCTTGGGTCCCTCATTTTAATGTTTCACATTTGTCCTAATAACATACCACACACTGAGTGACATGTAAGATGGAATATATGGTCTTACAGCCCAGAGGCTGTGGGGTCACACTCGGGGTGTCAGCTGTGTTCACTCCTCATAAGATGACTTACAAACACGGACATTTTTAGTCTTGTGAGAGGCTGGGGTCTGGATCAGAGAGTCTGTCATGTGGAGTCCCTGAAGGTGATTTATAAACACAGAATTTTGTGGTCTCATAGCCTGGGCGCTGGGGCTGTGGGCTCAGGCTGTTGGCCAGGTCAGTTCTCTGTGAGGTGACTCAGACATACAGGCATTGATCTCACAGCCTGCAGGCCGGGAGTGGGTCAGAGTGTCATGGTGGTTGTCTGTGAGGTGACTTAGACAAACAGGAGCGTGTGGTTGTAAGGTCGCTGAGGAAGGACAGAACTCAGTTCAGGCCAAGAAAGTTTATCGAGGAAAACCTGCCAGGCTGACTCTACAGTAGAGACCAGCAGCTACTTAGACTGGACTTCCCTGTTGTTTTACAAAGAAATTGTGGAACGGAGATGTATGCAGCTGCTTGCTAAAAGATAAGGAAGCAAATTTGGGATCGTAGATAATTATTTCTGGGAAAGGGAGGTGGAATAACAGGCCTAACAGAGATAAAGAGAGTTACAGCTGCTGCTTCCGTGCTTTGATCATGTCTGTGGCTATTCTGGGAAAGGGAGGGAGAGCTGCTCTGTAGTCCTAACATTCCAGCCTTTTGTTACATCACTGGGGCCACTGAGGTCTCTTCTGTAACTTCTTCCTGCTGGGTGGGGGTGACGATCTAAAGGAGAGAAAGACTGTCGGGTTTTAGGCAGCAGAGTTGGCGATGGAGCATAAAGGTTGGGACCCAGTTGATAATACAAGGAGTTCACAGACAGTGAATTGTGTGGTTGGCAAAGGCTGCCGTCTGTTCCTGTGGAAAACTAGAGAGAAATTGCATGAGGCAAGGACCAAACATTAAGATTAAGAAAATTACTACAAGAGAGCTGAGTATGGGGAGAAGTCAGAGTAGTCATCCTTCAAGAGAGGAGAAAGATTCCTGTTTATTTCCTATCTTCTATTGTCTTTGCTGGATTCATCCTTAAAGTTCTTTCACTTTACCTGTGACGACTCCTGACTGGTTTGCATAGTAACAGCACTCTTCTCTGGAAAAGACAGACTCCAGGCCAGGTGGTCTGAAAGCAGCTATAAGCTGAGTTGCCATAGATGAAGAATACTTTTGAAGTAGAGTGTTGAGTGCTATTATTTGACAAGGGAAGGGTGTGATTATAATAAGAGGAGGAAACATTGCTTACTGCTTTTGTACCATTAACTGAAAGTAGGTAGGTAACATTTGAGGTAAGGGGAAGGATTATATTGTCTGCTAGTTGACCCATTATGAGAGTTGTTTTGTTGGGGTTTGAGGTGTAATTTTTTTACATTTATTGGATGGAATGAGGGTGGCTATGACTACTCTCTATTGTAGGACAATTTTTAGCTAAGGCTGGGCTGGTATGATTTAGAACTTGAAAGATGTTGTTTTAAAAGTTTTTTAAAACTTTTATAAAGGGTTTTGTATTAATTGGCTGGATGAGTTTTTGTGTGTTTTTTTCTTAATTGATGGGTAATAGGCTTTGTATAGTTTTAGAAGAAAATTTGCTGCTATTATGATTAAGGTTAGTTATTACTTTAAACAGCTAGGTATATATTTTCAACCCTTGGGTATATTGAGGCTTATTGGTTTAAGTTACAACTTTTTAATATTATTTGAAATACTGGGGTGTAAAGAATTTTAGTATTTTCTTTTGATATCAAGTCTCTTTAATAAGAGTACAGAGGGGTTTGATATAACTAGAAACTGATGGGGAATAATACTCTATTTTATATACAGTTTAACAAGGGAGTTTGATATTTATTTGTAAAGGGTTTTTTGGGGGGTTGTGTGTGTTTTTAAGGCTCACAATAGTAAGTTGGTGGGGGAAAAGAAGCTTACCAAACAACCGTTAAGTCTCCAGGATGAATGTTGAGAAGAGAGTGAATTATTTTACCAGCAATGCTCATGCATATTCAAGGATTCTCCAGGCATATGGTGATGCTGTTTGATTACACCTTGAGGATCTGAGGGAGCCAGGGCCCCAGCAATCTGATTGCTCTTCTTGCACCAACACATGCCTAGGGCGTTATTGAGCCAGGTTTGTGAGAACTGCATTGGAAGCAAGCGGCAGGGGGCTTCCCTTCTGCCCCTTTACTTTCTTGAGGCATCTTTTGATATTTATGGCTTATGTGACCATGGCTAGGTTTTTACACTGGAAGAAAAAGCCTTGGAGTTGAGGTTTCTAGGCATGCTTGCTGGGTGAAAAGGTCTGTGATAGCAGTTTTTAAAAATGTGGCGTGCAGGTGAGGTGGCAGCAGGAAGTGGACACAGGGCCAGCCCAAAGTGAAAAGAACAGTTTATGCTGTGCTTTATTAAAATGTGCATCGGTCTTTTATTTAAAAAAATGGATTTCATATAGTCCTTCTTTTCCTCTTCCAAGTTTTTATTGTTGAACACTGGAATAACAGCAGTTAGACATTAGTTTAAGTTACTTTGGTGGCCTAAGGCTTTTTTCTGAGGGTTTCTTTTAATATACATCAGGGGCAGACTGATAGAGTGGGAATGTATTACTATTCTTCTTTCATAAGACTTGGGGTCCAAGTTGGTGAGTTTTAAAAGTTGCAGGGTTCTTTTTAATTTGGGGGGAAACTTCTTTTACTTTGGCTGAAAAGTAAAGGTGGGTGGAAAATGCCTAAAGGAAAAGAGAAACACAACAAAAAATTTTAAACTTATTTTAGTAAAAGCAAATAGCTGTATACATATGTAGGCTTATCTTTAGACACTTTTTTGTTTGCTTATTGCTGTCTCTCCCTGTAGCTGTAGTAGCTGCTACTTGAAGGAGGGGAGGGGAGGGGCAGAGGATCTTGGTGGATTTGCTTGTGTGTTTTTGTCTGGAGAGCTGGGGGAGGATAGTATGGAGATTAGTCACTGGGTTGGGATCAGAGAAGGAGGGGAGTGATGCAGGTCAGTGTTGGAAAAGGAGGAGAGTGAGATTCTAGTTGCAGAAAGTTGGTTGCTTTTTAAAGAGATTTAATTTTAACTAGGAGGTTAGTTATGAGGAGGTAAAAGTCGGAGAAGGATGCATACAGAGGAAGAGAGAGAAAAGGAGAGAGTGAAAAAGTGTGACTTCAGTTTCTGGCTGGATTTGTGTTGGTGGGGTAAACCAGGAGCAAGTGTGAGAGGTGGGCAGCGAGGAGGGCTTTGAGTCCTAGGTGACTGTGGAGAGGGCCTCCCTTGGTGAGGCGACATTTACCTATGGCAGGGGTGGGGGAGTGGGAAAGGTAGGGGATGCTGAGGGATCAGAGGGATTGAAAGTAGCATTATGTTTTGATCAGGAAGGGGAAAGGGCTTAGAATGAGTTAAAAGAGTTTGATAAGTACAGCAGTTCTGACAGAGAGAAGGATAGAATGTAGCGGATTTCTGACTATTTGCCACTGAGTTGTTACAAATTGTCTAAGTCTCTGAGAGTGTTGAAATAGAGTGTCCCGTGTTGGGGCCTATTGAGACCTTTTATCTAATTGATAATTGGCTCTGCCATGTTCTTGCAATAAGGGAGCATCAAGGGGGCAGAGGAGACAGCCGAGTGTGCTGAGAAGGGCAGGACTGGCTGGCTCCCATGATGTGCAGGGAGAGAAGTATGAGGGCTCCTGAAGAGAGACTTAAAGAGGCCTCCCTGTTTCCTTTTGACCTCTAGAGAGGACAGTCTGCTCATGAGGTGAGCATCGGGAGGGACTGGCCCAGGTGGCCAAGGGATCTGCCTGGCCCAGAGCTACAACTTTAGAGTCCAGAGAGATCAGGAGAACCTGAGAGGACCATCCACTCTTCACCCCAGATTGGTCTGGTGTTTGAAAGGCCAGCAAGAGGTAGAAAGCCCCAGGGAACGGTGTCCACTTGGCAGTTCAAAGAGGAGCAGTCGCAGTCAGGACGTAAATGAAGCCTGTGGAGGAATGAAAAGAATTAGGACGCTCCAACGTGTCCTAGGTGCCTTTACACCAAGAGAGAGGGGCAGGTTACATAGGGGAGAGACAGAAGCCAATTTTGAGGACTTTCCTGAGAATCTCAAAATATGGAATTAGAGCAGATTCCAGTCTTACGTGACGTAGCAGCAGGAAGTGCAGGTTGTTCACTGGCCTCTATTTAGCTTTTGAGTGAAGTCAGGAGAGATCCCTAGTCTCTGTGCATGAGGCTTGCAAGAAGGGGAGGGGAGAGGGAGGGAGGGAGGGAGAGAGAGAAGTTAGTTAGGGAATCAGGGTTTGTTGCCTCCTGTCAGGTGCTCCTCCTGGATTTTAATATCAGAAATGTAAGGTGGCCTATAAAGGACAGATCCCAGTTCAGGCCAAGAAATAAAGTTTATTGAGGAGAAACTGCCAGGCTGACTCTACAGTAGAAACTAGCAGCCACTTAAAACTAGAGTGGAGTTTTCTATTGTTTCACAAGGAAATTGTGGAGTGGGGATGTATGCAACTGCTTGCTACAAGATAAGGGAGCAGATGGGGGGGGGGGGTCATAGATAATTATTCTGGGAAAGGGAGGTGGAATAGTTCAGCAGCCCTAACAGAGATAAAGAGAGTTACAGCTGTTGATCCTGTGGTTTGATCATGTCTGTGGCTCTTCTGGGAAAGGGAGGAAGAGCCACTCTGCAGTCCTAACAGTGGTCTCACAGCCCAGAGGTCGAGGGTGGGTCAGGGTGCCATGGGGGTTCTCTGTGAGGTGACTCAGACACACAGACGTTGACGGTCACAGCCCAGAGGTCGAGGGTGGCTCAGGGTGCCATGGGGGTGCTCTGTGAGGTGACTCAGACACACAGACGTTGACGGTCACAGCCCAGAGGCCAGGGTTGGGTG